AGGAATTTTGTTGTTGTTGTTTTTAAACAGCTAAAGCCAGTTTTAAATTGTTATATGTGTCAAAGTTAATTCAATCTAATACAATATATGGCATTTAATAATTTAATGAGTTAAGCATTTTGAATATTATATTTATAGTATATGATAAATGTAATACTATATAAAAATAAAGTATATAATATATATTTTATATATAACATATGTGTTAAAATAACACTCTGCAATAGATCCTTTTTAATATAATTATTGGCAGACAATGCAATTTCCATTGTGTGGTCTAGTTTCTGAGTTCCTGAAGCTGATTTTCTGACCCCAAACAAAAATAAAAATGAAAGCAAAAAAACCACCCCATTTCTCTCTGCTAACTGATATTGAGGCAAATTAGGACACAAGTGGACGATTCTACTCTCAATAGTATAGCTGTTTAATTTGAATAACTTGAAATTCTAGAGATTCTGAGGATCCATGAGGATTATATCAAATTTTGAAACTCATGTTGCCAACTGAGTGAGAGGCCATCATGAAATAACATTTAATTTTTGTTGCTAAACTACCCGGGTTTTATATAATAAACTATACATAAAAAAAATTTAAAAATCTGATGAGTCCTCTGAATGCTATTTTTTAATGACAGCTGAATACTCTGAGGAGAAAGTACATTAAATCCCCGTCTTTGTCTTAACATTTTATATGTAATATGTAACTATTATCATCGACATTAAGAATACACAAATATAGAAATTAAGGGTAACACAAAGATTAAACACAATTTTTTAAGTGTTTAATTCAGTGGTTATTATTATATTCACAGATATGTGTACCATCACTACAGTCAATTTTCGTAATTTTTTTGGCCTTACCGCTCGGCATTTGGGATCTTAGCTTTCAGACCAGGGACGGAACCCAGGCCCCCTGCAGTGGAAGCACAGAGCCTTAACAGCTGGACCACCAGGGAAGTCCCCGATTTTAGTAATTTTTGTCAAACATAATTTTAAATGTTTTCCTAATCATGAAGACTACATGGGGACTTCCCTGGTGGTCCAGAGGTTAAGACTCCGCACTCCCAATGCAGGGGGCCCGAGTTCGATTCCTGGTCAGGGAACTAGATTCCACATGCCACAACTAAGAGCCAGCATGCCAGCAACTAAAGATTCCACATGCCACAAGTAAAGATCCCGCATGCCGCAACAAACATCCCACACGTGATAACGAAGATCCTGCGTGCCTCAGCTAAGACCCGAGTAGCCAAATAAATAAATACATATTTTAAAAAAAGGACTACATGCCATCATTAGTTAATATATCAGATTTATATACTCTTAGGGCAAGGTTTATTGTACTAACAGTGGGTCCAATCCATATTTTGATCTTTTTTTTTTTTGGTTGACTTTTTTTTCATGGTTAGCTCATTGTAATTTACCTGGTAATGTTACTGATGAAGAGTTCATAACTTATTTTCTTCTTGTTTGCTTGTTCATGCATATGACTATTAGCAGCTTCTTTGTAAAAAATCTTTTTAAGGCACTTACTCACTCCATGAAGTTTAGTTTAGTAAAACTAGTAGATAATAAATTCCAAGAACCAAGTACATATAAAGTACAATCTGTAGCAATCCACTGAAAAGTCCCTTTGTTCTCCCCTTTGGAGGGCAGAACTCCCACTTTCCCCTCAGGATACCTTAGTTACCAACAATTCTATGTGATCACTTGGTAGCCACCAAATAAGGGAAAACCCCACTGTCTGTACGTTAAACATTAGCAAAATTGAATTTATTTTTATTAAACATGAAAATAAATATGTTTAAGTTTATTGTCTTCTCACATCAATGCATAGTCTCGCACATCCCATGAGTTGTGTGTATCCCATTTGGGGAACCACCGTGTTAGAAAATGTGTCTAGTCTCTGATACCCAAATTTTTAAAAAGAAAAATGACAAATATGATCAGTGATAGGGAAGAGAAAGAGAAGAATGAAGGGTAAGACTCAATTTATTTCTACTGGAATAGTTTTATCTAGTCCCTAACCAAGCAAGCCTTGCCAATGACCTCTCTCTCCAAACTTAAATTTATGTTAATATGTAGACTGACTGTGTTAAAACACAGTATGTAATGTAACGTACCTTCCTTTTCACAGTATCATTAAGGTCTATATTTGATTGAAGCAGCGAGTGGATGATTGTAAATACATCCTATTGTGCAAGTTCTGCTTGTCTCTGCTGCTTTCATCAGGTCCATAATCCTACAACCCCTTCTTTTCCTTTTTTATTTTCTTCTAATTTGTTTCTTCCATCATATTCATTGCCCACTTGGATAAATTCTTATTCTTTCCATGGTTTGTCTTTGTACACATTTTCTGTGCCAACTTGTCTCTCCAAAGTCCTGTTACTTTAAAAAAATGTCTAAATCTGTTTCATTAGGTGTATCAAAACAGAGTTCCCTTCAAAGTACAAGTATACAGTAAAATGACTGTATTCATTATTTTCTTTGTCATAAAATACTACATGCCATATTTTAGATTTTTTTAAATCCCTACTGTTTACTTCAAGCGTAATTAGAAAGTAGCGCTGAGAAAAGATCCAAAATGATAATTTTATGGCATCTTATAGTAGTTATCAGATACAACATGATAGGTAACATAATTTAGTGGTAACTATGGGCTGTGGAGTCCAACCTGGATTCAAATCTAACTCTAGAACTTACTAGCTATGCCATCTTAGGTTTTGTTACTTTACTATGAACTTGGCCAACATACAGAAAAGGGCTAATAACCCTTTTAATAATCATCTACAGTGCTTATTCATGAGGCTAGCAGACACATAATTAGCATTACTCTCAAATGTACTTTGGTCATTTTAAGAACGAGTATCACATTTAATTGGTTCTAGTTCAAGTAATGGCAACAGCTAAGATGACAGTCGTTTGTATGCTTTGCAACTCCTAAGGTATTCAGGCAATAATTTTCAAATTAAAATATAATGAAAACTTTACTTCTTGCTTCCAGCAAATATAGATGGATAAGAAAAATCAATTCTAAGATTTGAGAACAAAACTACTGTTATTCTCTACTATTAATGTATGAAACACTGCACTTTCCATCTTTTTGCTACCTAACCCAGCAAATGAATTTACAATTAACCAGAGATTCAATTTCTTTAATATATATATGGCTATTCAGGTTATTTACTTCTTTAGTGAGCTTTGGTAGTTTGTCTCACAAGGATGTAGCCAATTTCATCAAAGTTTATTTGCATAAAGTTGCCAATAAATATTGTTTCATTGTTGTTTTAATGTCTCTAAGGGATCTGTAGTGATGTCTCTTCTTTCATTACTAGTATTCCTAATTTGTGTCTTTTTTCTCATCGGTCTAGCTAGAGATCAATCTTATTGCTGCATGTCACAGATTTTGCTATTTGTGTTTTCATTTTGTTCAGTTAAAGTATTTTCTAATATACCTATACTTTTTTGAGCAGAGGGTATTTACAAGTGTGCTGTCCAATTTCCAAATACTTGTAGATTTTTCAGATGTTATTTTTAGTCTAATTTCTTCATGGTCTAAGAATATACTTTGTGTTGTTTCAATCCTCTTAAATATAGTTTTATGGCCCAGAATATAGTCTGTTGTGGTAAATGTTCCATGTTCATTTGAAAAGAATGCTCTACTGAGCCTGTGCTCTAGAGCCCGCGAGCCACAACTACTGAAGCCCACACGCCTACAGCCCGTGCTCCGCAACAAGAGAAGCCACCGCAATAAGAAGCCCGTGTACTGCAATGAAGAGTAGCCCCGGCTCTCTGCAACTAGAGAAAGCCCACGCACAGCAATGAAGACCCAATGCAGCCAAAAATAAATAAATTTATTAAAAAAAAATCTGGGGACTTCCTTGGTGGTCCAGCCTTCCAAAGCAGGGGATGCAGTTTCGATCCCTGGTCAGGGAACTGAAGATCCCACATGCCACGGGGCAACTAAGTCCGTGCACTGCAACTACTGAGCCTGTGCGCTCTAGAGCCCATGCACCACAACTAGAGAGCCCGTGTGCCACAAATACTGAGCCCACACACTCTGGAGTCTGAACGCCACACTAGAGAGAAGCCCACACACCGCAAGGAAAGATTCCGCATGCTGCAATGAAGATCTCACGTGCTGCAACGAAGACCTGACGCAGCCAAATAAATAAATATTGTTAAAAATATTTTAAAAATTAAAAATAAAAATCTGGGGACTTCTTTGGTGGTCCAGTTGTTAAGACTCCGTGCTTCCATGGCAGGGGGCACGGGTTCAATCCCTGATCGGGAAACTAAGATCCCACATGCCGCAAGGTGCAGTCAAAAAAAAAAAAAATCTGTTAGAGTACACCTATGTTCATAGTAGTATTATTCACAACAGCTAAAATGTGGAAGCAACCCAAGTGTCCATCAATGAATGAATGGATAAGCAAAGTGTGGTATGTACATAAAATGGAATATTATTCAGCCTTAAAAAGAAAGGAAATTCTGACCCATGCAACACAGATGAACCTTGAGGACATTATGTGAAATGAAATAAGCCAGTCACAGAAAGACAGATTCTGAATGATTCTACTTATATGAGGTACTTAGAGTAGACAAAAATCACAGAGACAGAAAGTAGAATGATGGTTGCCAGAGGCTGAGGGGAAGGCAGAATGAGGGGTTATTAATTAATGGGCATAGACTTTCAGTTTTAAAAGATGAGAAGAGTTATGGAGACAGATGGTGGTGATGGTAGCATAACATTATTAATATATTTAATGTCACTGTTCACTTAAAAACAAGATGGCAAATTTTATCACAATTTTAAAACTTAAAGAAAAAAAAAACTATTAGAACATACCCATTTGTTCAAATACACGCTGGCTGTCTGCTATTTGCAGAATGGACTGCTGCCAGTGCTCAACCCCCCAAGTATTCCAAACCAAATCTGATATGGCTGGAGACACTTTTTTTTTTAAAGAATGACAAAGCAGACTGGTACATGTTCTCTTACTTTATTAAATCTTACTAGAACCAAGTAAGGAACAAACACACAGATGAGTAGGCTACAGTGAAGAAATCTTCTTTTTATAAGAGAGTTAAGAAGACATTAAAAGATAATTCCAGGTATTATCTTCAGTGATGCTTCTTATCTTTTTTCTGGGACTCCAGGTAATATTCAGCCCCTACAGCTACCACAAATGCAGCAAATCCCCATTTGAATCCTTTTAATAATGCACCAACAAAGGAAACATTATTTGCAAAGCCACCAGTGTATCTCCAAGCTTCATTGCTAGAGGAAAAAAAAGGGGAAAATTATATTCACATATGACACACATTCATTGAGTAAAATATATTTGATTTCATCTTTCTAACAGACTTAAATGCAACCTTATATAAGATAATCTAAGTGGATCACAATAGGAATCTTTCTTTGGCATAAGATAATTAGATCTATATGCCCACATTTCGTACATGAAATACAAGAAAAAACACTTGATGATTTCATATTTCACAGTCATAGTACTCAGGATTTTACAGAATTCTCAAATGCAAGGCTCACCTTGGACTATCCATCACAGGTCAGTTGTGTAGCTTTGCTCATACTAGTCATTACAGCTTCATGGAAAGAGGAAGTTAAGAGATCTCGGTATTAATCTTTGCTCTGCCATACTAGATACACAACTTAGGCTCGGCAAGTTACTTAACCTGTTGAGGCCTGTTTCTTCTACTCAATAACGATTACTATTTACCTTATAGCATTATTATAAAGATTAAACAGAGTAATGTATGATGTATTTTGGCACAAAGAGTACGTAACACTCGATAATACTATTACTATTCAAGAGGATCATTGATTTTCCCTGTCATAGAAGCCGGAACTTTAGTAGACTAATTTCATGCTCTGGCAATCATTCTTTTGAGTATCCTGAACAGAGGAGGAAACAAATCAGAGCGCTCTAGTGAAAAAAAGTCTTCTCTCGCAGGTAAGGATAAATGAGTGGAAAAAAATCATGTTTTAAAGAACAAAACCCACTTAACTCTACAAATCTGACTTACGAAAGCTAATCAAATCTAATTTAAGACACCAAAACCAGACAAAGACATTAGAAGAAAACTACAGATTAATATTCCTCATCAACATAGATGCAAATATTCGTAACAAAATTTTAGAAAATTGAATGCAGCAATATTTAAAAGGATAATATATCACGATGAAGTAGGGTTTTCCTCAAAAGAATGCAAGATTGGTATAACACCTGAAAATGAATAAAATTAACTCACCATATTAACAGAATAAAAACAGAGGTGAGCATCTTAATAGATGTAGAAAAAGCATTTAACAAAAATTCAACACCTATTAGTAAGAATAATAATAGTAACTCATAGTAACCCAGGAATAGAAGAGAAATTCCTCAACTTGATGAAAGGCATCTCTGGACATCCTACAACTAACATTACACTTAATGATGAAAGGTTGAATGCTTTCCCCAATTAGGAATAAAGCTAGGATGTTCAAATACACCACTTTTATTCAACATTATACTAGTAATGTTAGCCCATGCAATAATGCAAGAAAAAGAAATTAAAAGGTTATAGATCGAAAAAAAAGTAACATCTTTGTAGACGAAATGATCTTTTATGAAGTAAATTCTAAGGCATCTGTAAGAAACGTCTGCTAGAACTAAAAAGTGAATTTAACAAGGTAACAAGATACAAATTCAATATATAAAAAGCAATTACATTTTTATATATTAGCAATGAACAACTGGAAACTGAAGTTTAAAAATACTGTTTACAATAGCATAAAAATACGGAATAAGTCAGGATAAATTGAACAAAATATGTACAAGACTGTAAGAACACTGCTGAGAAAATTAAAGAGGATCTAAACTGTTCATGGACTGGAAGACAATATTGTTAAGACAGCAGTTATCCTCAATTGAGCTAAAGATTCAAGGTGATCCCAATTAAATTCTAAGCAGGCTTTTTATAGAAACTGAAAAGCTCATTCTAAAATTTAAATATAAATACAAGAACTTGGAATAGCTAAAACAATTTTTTTTTAAAGTTGGACATCTTATTTTATACTACCTGATTTGAAGACAGTGTGGTATTGACATAAAATAGATATATTGATCAGGGTAACAGAAAAGAATCCAGAAGTAGACTGTACAGATATTGTCAACTGACTTTTGACAATGGTGTCAAGGTCAATTAATGGGGAAAGACAGTCCTTTAATATATGGTGCTAGAACAACTGGAGGTCCATATGCAAAAACATTAACCTTCATCCTTACCTCATATGACATAAAAATTAACTCAAATGGATCATATGCCTCAATGTAAGAAAGAACACTATAAAAGCTTCCAGAAGATTAGGAGAAAATCTTAGGATGCAAAAAGCACAAACCATAAAAGAAAAAAAATGCTAAATTGGGACTTCAGCACAATTTAAAACTCTTTTAAAGACATCATTAAGAAAATGAAAAGAGGGACTTCCCTGGTGGAACAGTGGTTGAGAATCTGCCTGCCAATGCAGGGGACACGGGTTCAATCCCTGGTCCAGGAAGATTCCACATGCTGCAGAGCAACTAAGCCTGTGTGCCACAACTACTGAGCCTGTGCTCTAGAGCCTGCAAGCCACAACTATTGAGGCTGCATGCCACAACTACTGAAGCCTGCGCACCTAGAGCCTGTGCTGTGCAACAAGAGAAGCCACCGAAATGAGAAGCCTGCGCACCACAATGAAGAGTAGCCCCCGCTCACTGCAATTAGAGAAAGCCTGCGTGCAGCAACGAAGACCCAACGCAGCCAAAAATAAATAAACAAACAAACAAATAAATAAATTTATTTTAAAAAAAGAAAATGAAAAGATAAGCCACACTCTGGGAAAAACATCTGCAAAACTTTTATCTGATAAAGGACTTATATTTAAAATATATAGACAACTCTTATAATTCAATAAAAGACAAACACTCTGATAAATAGAATGGGCAAAAGATCTGAATAAACATTAAACCAAAGAAAATATACAAATGACAAATAAGCATATGAAAAGATTCTTGTCATCTTCATTCTTCATGGAAATGCAAATTAAAACCCAAAGAAATATTTCTATCACATTCACTAGAATGGCTAAAATTAAAAGGCTGATAATACTAAGTATTGATGAGGACATTGAGCAACTGAAATTCTCATGCATTGTTGGTGGGAATGCAAAATGGTACAACCATTTTGTAAAACAGTTTGGCAGTTTTTTATTTAAAAAAATACACTTTTCAAAAGATTCAGAAATCCCACTGTTAGGTATTTACCCAAGAGAAATGAAAGCATATGTTCACACAGACTTGTACTTGAATGTTTAAAGCAACTTTACTCATAATAGCCAAAAACTGGAAACAAGCCAGATGGTCATCAACTGGTGAACAGTAAACAAAATGAGGTATATGCATACAATGGAGTAGTACTCAGCAATAAAAAAGGATGGGATTATGGATATAAGTTAACAATGTACATAAGTCTCAAAAGCACTATGATAAGTGAAAGTGGCCAGAACAAAAACTACAGACTGTATGATTGCAATTGAAAAAGCAGATCAAGGGTTGCCAGGAACCAGGGGTAGGATAGCACTGAGTGCAAAGGATCATCAGGGAACTTTTTGGTATTCTAGAAATATTCTGCACCATGATTGTGGTGGTAGTCACATAACTGCACAGGTAACTGCACACATCTGTCAAAACTCATGGAATGATACACTTAAACTGGGGTGAATTTTACTGTATATAAGTGGTATTTTAATAAAGCTGATTTTAAAACTTAAATGTAAAAGGCCATTTTTAATGATTTTTTAAAAAAGAGAATACATTGAAAAGGAACATAGATACTGCTTCTCTAGGATAAGTTCTATTTAAATTATTTAATTATTCTTACCGGGCCCATGGATCCCTTAGCCCTCGTGCAGCCAGCTTCTCCTGGACAGTTTCTAACGGTGTCCCTTCTATATTCCATTGTTTATAATCTGGAAGTTCCATTTTACTATGACCATGTTCATGTCCATGTCCATGGGCCATGTCTACAGGAAAAGATTAATTTAAGGGAGAAATACATATATTGTAGATATCAAATACCCAAGTTTACTATTTATGTTTTAAGGTAAAATTTTAATGTTTTAAAAAGAAAAGCAATATAAATACTTGAAAATTCGAAGCTAAGAAATTTTATAAAACAGTGTCTCTTTACATACTAGTATATGTTCACAGTTTGGAAATATACATATGCAAAATATAAAAAAGAAAAATAATCGGTAATCCCATCACTAAGAGATAACCATTTACTATTTGGTTTCTTTCTTCATTATAATAATAGCAAATATTTACCATGCCCTATGTGCCAGGTGCACTATGATAAAGTGCTTTAACTGTCTTGACTCCACATTATTCCTAAAACAACTCTTTGAACTTAAATTACTATTATTATCCCCATTTTATAGATGAAGACAATGAGGCTCCAAGAAAATAAGTAACTTTCTGAAGGCAACAAAAATAGTTAATGGTACAATTGGGTTTTGAACACTGCAGTTTCATTTCAGAGCCCTTGCTCCTAACTTTTAAGCAATACTGTTTCCTTCTTTTCAGTCTTTCGTAATGCATGAATATCTATAACAAAAATGTTGTACATAGTTTTGTTACGTGCTTTCTTCAGATGATTCTTTAAAAATGCGGTATTACTGTGGTTAATACATATGGATCACATGAACTTTTTCTGTAAAGAGTCACATAGTAAATATTTTAGGCTTTGTTGGCCAAGAGGTGAAATCAAGGTTATTATGTAGGTACTTTATATAACAGGAGAAAAAACAAATTTCCATAAATATTTATTGATAAAATTCAAAATATAACAACTAAGTATAATTTTTTATAATACAAGTCTTCTGATGAAAAAATGCAATTCCTTTTTGGGGGGATAACATTTTGCTTAACTGGAGTTCAAAGTTTAGTGTTCCTTAGTATCAAATTGATTGCAAATGTTCATCTGTAAAAACCCTTCTTAACTCACTGGCCACATAAAAACAGGCAATGGGCTGAATTTGGCCAGCAGGCTGTAGTTTGCTAACTCTTTTTTTTTTTTTAATAAATAAATTTATTTATTTATTTTTGGCTGCATTGGGTCTTCGTTGTTGTGCATGGGCTTTCTCTAGTTGCGGCGAGCGAGAGCTACTCTTTGTTGCAGTGTGTGGGCTTTTCATTGCAGTGGCTTCTCTTTTTGCAGAGCACAGGCTCTAGGTGCATGGGCTTCAGTAGCTGTGGCTCGCGGGCTCCAGAGCGCAGGCTCAGTAGTTGTGGCTCACAGGCTTAACTGCTCCGTGGCATGTGGGATCTTCCTAGACCAGGGCTCGAACCCATGTTCCCTGCATTAGCAGGTGGATTCTTAACCACTGCGCCACCAGGGAAGTCCCTAGTTTGCTAACTCTTGATGTAGATCAACAGAGACTTTTTAAAAAAAATTTTTATTGAAATATAGTTGATCTACAATGTTGTGTTAGTTTCATGTGTACAGCAAACTGATACAGATATACATATATTAAGTGTAAGTATTCTTTTTTTTTTAACATTCTCTTCCATTAACAGAGTCCTTAGGACCCCTTTTTAATCGATAAATTTGCTTTAATAAAATATGCCCCCAATGGGTATATAAAGATTTCAGTTTTCTAGTGTTATTTTTATAGATAATACAAAAATAAACTTGAGCTCAGTCCCGTTATATTGTTATGAATTTCAAATTAACAGGGTATGAATTAATAATGCTATACTGTAATTTGTATAAGGTTAGCAGTAGCAATTCTATAATCACCGCTTTCCAGAAATAAAACCAAACCAAATAATTATTACCACTTTGTCTGCATTTATAACTATAAACAAGTCCAATAATAAGGCAGGATTCTTACACTGAATTTTAGAAGACAGAGGTAATTATTAGATAGTATATACTAAAGACACATTATGTGAAGTGCTCATTTCATTAAACAATAGTTCCCAGAATATGGGGGACAAAACTGTACATAGTAATTCCGACAAATTAGCCAACATTTAATATTTTTATTTATAGACATGTTAAGATATCAAAAAAATTATGTTGATGATTTTCACATTTAAAAGAGAATAAAAATGAACACCTACCAAACACAAGTTAAAACTACAACATTCACAACTTTGAATGAAACATTTAATCCATTATTTCATTATTATTTGGTGGATTCAATAATATAAAGGAAACAAATTATGGTTTCAGATTTCAGTCTGACTTTTGAGATTCAATACATTATCACAAAAGAAAGACTTCTAGAAGCATTTAATTATAATGATAAAGTGTTGGCTTCTATGTTTTCCAAAAAATATTTTTAAAATAATGTTTCATTCCAAAAATCTTTAGATTACAAGAAAACCCTTATTTTGGCAAATGTCAATTCTAGAATATTAAACGTACTTGAGTATCAATGTACTTGGAAGAGAATACAAAACAAAGGTCAAACATTTTTGATTAAATAGCTTGATTTTGAAAATGAAAATTGAAATATTACCATGGTATGAAGGCTATCTCAAAGTTACAATACTACTATGCTCAAAATATTAAGTAATTTGGAAGATATATCTCTGAAAAAAAAAACCATGAAAGTATACCTATACTCATTTCTCCTAAACAAATTTCCTTTAATAAATTCAATGTATTTTCTCTTCTATCTAATTAAAATATTTCAGTAAGAGTCCCTTCATAGGCATTTACTAAATATTTTAATGACTTTTCAAGAAGAACAAAAAGTTGAACACTATTTTTAGGGAAGCTTCATTTTCTCCTAAAAATTATTTCTACTTCAGAGTAGTCATAAATCAAACAATGATATCCTGATCACTTGAAGGAAGAGTTTGGAATCCTACTGAAGTACAGACTTTGGTGCTGTACAGATCCGGCATCAAACCCTGAATGCACCATTAATAGCTGTAAAATCCTGTGCAAATCATTTAAATCTTGCTCAACTTCAGTTTCTTCATCTAACATGAGGTTAAAACCTACCTTGCAAGATTGTGAAAATTGGGGAAAACACATTGTGATGATGTGCCTTCCACTTTCACACCCAGGTGGTGAGAATGTGATTTAACAAAACCACTATAAAAACCTGTTCGGTATGACCTAGAAAAGTTAAACATTTGAATATCTTACGGCCTAGCAATTCCAGTCATAGGTACTGCATATATACTCTAGATCTGCACTGTCCAATATGGTAGCCACTAGCTCCCTAAATGTGGCCTATGCAACTGGGGAACTAAAAATTTTTATTTAATTTTAATTAATTTAAATTTCAAAACGGATTTTCAAGCCAGTTATTGGAAAATTTTAAAGTGTGTTTGGTACAAACTGGGCATGCAAAGCTGCTTTATCAACTGTAAATTTTTTGAAATATAAATGCAGATCAAGTGTTTGCATTTATGGAAACAGCATATTCTGTAAAACACACCACTTTTGAAGACAGCATGAAGAAAATGTAAAATATTTCGTTAATAAGTTTTAATACTGATTACACCTTAAAATTATAATATTTTGAATATATACACTCGGTTAGATAAAATACATTATTAAAATTAATTTTATGTTTCTTTTTACCTTTTTAATATGGCTACTAGACATTTTTAAATAACATATGCGGTTTGTATTATATTTGCACTAGACAGCACTGCTCTAGAGAAACTCTTGCATCTGTATAACAGATATATTTTATAATCAACAGGCAAATATATAGGGACTTCCCTGGTGGCGCAGTGGTTAAGAATCTGCCTGCCAGTGCAGGGGACACGGGTTTGAGCCCTGGTCCGGGAAGATCCCACATGCCGCGGAGCAACTAAGCCTGTGCACCACAACTAATGAGCCTGCGCTTTAGAGTCTGCAAGCCACAATTACTGAAGCCTGTGTGCTGCAACTACGCACCTACAGCCCGCGCTCCACAATAAGAGAAGCCGCCACGATGAGAAGCCCACACACCGCAACAAAGGGTAGCCCCGGCTCGCCACAACTGGAGAAAGCTCACGTGCAGCAATGAGGACACAACACAACCAAAAAAAAAAAAAAAGAATGCAAGAGAATCAGGTGGAAAAACTGTTAAAATAAAAATTCCACAAAACTGCCAAACACACGATGAAAAAAACACTCTTTCTAGCCATATTATTTATGCTAGCCCCAAACTGTAAACAACTCAAATGTCCAACTATGGAATGGATTAATTATGGAATACTACACAATGAAAAACAACATGCAAAAGTATGAATGAATTTCACAAATATAAGATTGAGCAAGGAGTGAGTCAGAAAAAAATACACACTTTGAATCCCATTTATATAAATGGAAAAACCTAACAATTCATTTTCTAGGGAAAAAAATTTAAGTGAAACAAGTAAATGATTATTACAAGTTAGGATGCTGGTTACCTCTTGCCGGAGGAGATGGAATCACAGAAACTCATTCAGGGAGCTTCTAAGGCAGTATTTTTCAACATATTGTAATTACTGTACCCCAAAGGTGCTTTCTTAAGACTTTTTTTTTCCCCTAATCATGTTCTCACCCTACCCCTCCACATGAAAATTTAATACCACAGTTTACGTACTATGGCTCTTTGGAGGGCCACAAACTATTGTATTATCTAAGGGTTTTTTTGCCCTCTCACCCCCACCCAACAAGAACGATTTTTTACCTCCTCAAAAGGCAATCACCTCTGCTGAGAATGCATATTTAAGTTTTTGGCAATGCTTTATTTCCTAACCTGAGGGGTGGTGATCAAGTGTTTGCTTAATTATAATTCTTAAAAATGTACTTATGTTTTATACAGCCTTCTGTTATGTATACATCACAATAAAAACTAAAATTAGATAAAGTGACTTAAATCGTGCCAAGGACTCAACAAGAGGTGATTATTTCCCTTTCAGAGCTTTTCAAACAAGAACAGCAAGGAAATAAGTTCAACAAGGAAAAAGCATGTAATCATGAATTTTTTTTCACCTCCTTCTATCTACCTATGTTTGGAGTGAACCTACAAGTTTGTTGGATATCAACGTCCACTAACGGGAGCTGGCTCTAGTACAGGAACAGTGTTGGCATATTTTCCCTAAGAAGGATATAAAAGGGTAATGCCGCTTACACTATATGTAATCTCACAGTTTACCGAAGACTTTGAAGTATATATTCCAATTTCTCCTCATTTAAAAAACTGTACCATAAGAACATTAGAAAATAAAAGACAAATTAACTGTTTTCCCCTTTAGTGTCCCTTCCAGTCCCTGTATCCGTGTATATTCAATTTAATAGTAATCACACTAAAAATTGATGTGATTTTGTACCCTTTTAACATTGTGTCATAAACTTTCATACCAGAAAAATCTTATTTTAAACTGTACTATAAATGCTCGTGACACAGGCATTACAAGTATTCCTATTTTACAAATTTTCGATCTGAGTGCGGTTGTGCCTTCATTCGACTCAAAGATAAACCAAAAAACAGGGGGCGGGGGGTGTTGCGGGTGACACAGGAGGAAAAAAAGCATCTGGACTTAACAACCACAGTGATCCTCACAGCATCCTTCTACAACTTCCCCTCGCTACCCCAGGACTTCATAGTTCTCTCCTGCTAGTTCTTCGATCTCCTTCCCTCTTGAGCTACTCATTCTCATCACCCTTCTCTATTTAGTCTCTCCTTTCCGACAATCCCTGGAGTAGAGTCTCATTCTCATTCCCGATCAAGAGATCTACCACCAGCTCCCCTATTTACCTGATAGCAATCTGACCTCTCAGGACACTCAAGATTCAACCCACCAGCCGGAGGCAACCGGAAACGGAAGTTGTCACCTCGAGTATCTTACGGCAGGAAAGCAGAGGAAAAATTTAACATTCTTGTCCTGGGTCACAGATTCCTGGACCAGGTGGAGGTGACATGAAGGAGGATGGAAGTGGGCTTTTTCCCCGCACATCTGTGCATCCGGAGTCTGACCGAAGTAAGAGAAACTGTGGAGGACAGAAGGCGGGGAAGAAGCGACGTGGTCCTTCCTCGAGACCGGAATCTTTAGACTCTGCACAGGGGGAGGGCCGCGGGCCTACTGCTGCCAATCAGAGGTGCTGTTGTTGGAGCGTGGAATCACCCAATGGGAGGGCCGGTTGTTGCGCTGCAGTTGGCAGGCTGCTGCGGGAGGCGGTGGCGGTAAGAAGCCAGAGGCAGAGGGGTGACAGGTAGGCAGCGGCGCTGTCTCTGGGGGACGTGAAGTGCCAGATAGGAGGGATTTTCTTCTTCTCCGGCTACAGGAACTATAGAGGGGATCTGACGAGGGTGGTCTGGGAAGGCGGTAGCCAGAGTGTTGGGTGTTGGTGGTTTCGGAACCTCTAGGAGACCAGTTAGCAGCTTGGGAGGGTCGTGAGGAGAAGACAGCCGAGGCGGGTGGAGGCTGAGCCCTGCGGGGCGACGTAGGGGCCTCAGGCGTGGGGGGCTGCGGTGGCGCCGGCGGAGACGGGAGAGAGGCCGGAGCAAGACGGCGTCGTGAGGGCTGGAAGAATTCCTTGCACGGAGCTCCGGGAGAAAAGAGGACGCGCGGCATTGCAGGCACCTGAGAGAAATCCTAGGGCTTGCTTCTTAGGGCCGTTTCTCAGGGTGGGAACGGAGGAAGCGGAGAAGAAAGATATTTATTGGCGGCCAGATCGTTGAAAGTCTTCGTAGCTGTATATTATGTAATCCTTGGCCGTTATTTACCCAAACAATCAGGTTGCCCCTCCTGGAAGCGGAGGTCTTGCAACCTCTTGATGTGTGAGGATAGTTTTTTCGTTTGTTTGACTGTTTTGTACCCCGGCCGGCTCTGTGGGCGAAGAAGCATGAAGGATAGAGTAGTCACGAAGAGCTTATCCCAAATATGGACTTGGGTTGAGAGATGTGTTAGTCTGAGATGAGCGTGGCCAGGTTCACGTTTTGTAGTTCGTGAATTTATTTGTTTTGATGGTCAAGGCTGACTACAAATCTTTTTTTTTTTCTTTTAATCTTCAGGGAAGTGGAGACCCTCAAAAATCTGTAGTAGGAGGTAAGTGCAAGTTGGAAAATGACTAGAAAATTAGTTGGTAGATTTTTTTACCCCCTAAATATTGTGGATGTTAGAGACTGTGAAAATTAGGTGGTGGTCTGGTTTTGGTGGGGGGAGAGTCGTCTTTTTAAGAAATTTGCTCTATGAGTCTGAGAAACCAGTTTGAATTATTTATTTCTTAGATTTAAAAAGTATGTTCTTTGAACCTCTCCGGTAGAGGTAAAATGTATTTACAGACATAATTAATTGTAGATTATCATGTTTTTTCTAAGTTTTTATAATTCATTATTTGCACAATGAAATACAGAATTAAAATAGGAATTCCATTCAGTGTGTATTATGGAATGACAGACTACATTAAAAACTTGATTTTATAGCTCACTGGAAAGCAGTTTTAAAGGAAGTGTTATAAATTTCTAAAATGTGAGCTGATTGAAATGTTGCCTTTAGCTTAGAAGATAAAGACTCATGTAGTGTTTATTAACAAATGTATCATTTTCCTGAGCTTATTTTAATACTGCATGTCAGAAAAACTTTCTAAAATGTGATTTTTTTTCTATTATTGATAATTTATATTAGTGTATCCCAGAAACTAAATTGAAAAAAAAATTTTTTTCTATATGTCATTTGGTAAAGAGAGCTGGATCATTAGAGTTTGTTCTGAAATGTTTAGCATACTAAGATATTTATCAGTGTTTCAGATAAAAATTTTGATACTTGGTGTTTCATTCTTGGTCGTTTTATCTTTTGGCAAGAATAATACTCTCAGTCGAAAGAACAGTTCTGCTTCTGTTTTAGGTGCAGTTCTGTAGTGTGAGTACCTGTGAACAAATCTCTGCTTTCATGTAGGGTATATGTGTCTCTGTGTGTGTATGTATGTGTTTCTTCTTATTATGTAACCAGCCTACTAGAGTTGTCTTAGAGAACTAATGGCTGATTTTGAATGGCCAGTAGGTGTCCTTGTAGAATGCAATAAAGTTGAACATTGAGTAGGAAATTACCAAGTGATTTAAGGAATGCTAGTCCAAATTAGAATATAATAATAATTGGCTGATTATTTATACATCATTAGAAATTCTCTTTTCTGATACATTTCAGTATTGTTTATAAGGAATTTGAAACAATGACTGTAAAGAAGTATAATTGTTTGCCCTAAAATGGGCTTTGAAAGCTTGTTTTTTAATCCAACTCTTAAGCTATCTTGACGTGCGATATGGATTTAGGATTGTTTGATTGTTTTTTAATACAGTTTTGTCATCTAATTGTAGTTTATTAGGTTCTAGAATGGTTAAGATTTTCAGCTTGACTGAATTTTGTAATAGAAAAATCAATGCTACATAATGAAAAACTAAAATGATAAAACATGGGCAGAAAGTCTCCAAACAAATTAACAGCTGCACAAAATAATACTTTATTATTTTTCTTTTAATGCTTTGTTATGTTCTTTTAAAGAATAGAGGAATTTTCGTCTTTCTTTTTCTGTGGCTTGGTTTTTTTGATGTCCCAAATAGCTTCTTTTTACATTTTTATCTGACTGGTAGACAGTGTGCTTTTCTCAGGATGATGAACTGAACATTTGTCATTGTCTAAAATATATAATGGATTCTGGAGGAAGCTGGCACAGAAAGATTATGGCTGCTATTAGTACAGCCCCTTACCTGCAGAGCTTTCTGCTGTGCTCTTATCACTATGTAGCTCTGCTCCTTTTGCCTGCTGTTGATACAATGTTAAAAAATAGAATTGGACCTAATTCAGGCATTCTCCATAAAAGTGAGTAACTCTGAGAGAGTTCCACGTATATCAGAATAATCTAGGAGTTAAAAAAAAAAGGCACACATGCATATCTGTTATATCATCTCCACTTCCCTGCGGAATCTTAGTGGTAGGGGGAATATGAAGGGAGGCAGATATATTTTGAAGGAAAAAAAAATTCCCTGGATGATATGGTTTATAATGGGCTTCTACTTGAGAATCATTGATCTAATTCAAGGCTCTCACACTGTGGTATGAACCAGAACAGTAGTTTTAGCTTGAGAAAAAGGGCTTCTAAATCTATCAATATATTATAGCTCAATAAATTTTCACCATTTAATGTCATAGCTGAGCTGATGGATTTTCTAACCAGGAGCTAAAGTTGCCAGAAATAAAAATTGTGCTGAATGTTTTGGTTGGGATTACTTTTTACTTGGCACTTAGCTGCTTTACATACACCAAGCTAATTTCTTTCATAATTCAGACCTGTGCTTTGCACAGATATTTACTTGTACCTGTTCTCTCGATGTCTCTGAAAGCTATCTAGTACTAAATTAAACTAGAATTGGAAAATAAGAATTGGAAGTTTTCTTGATAAAAGGGGTTTTTTTGCAGTATTGCTATGATATGATGAAGGTATACATTTATCTTTTTGTAAACAAATAATATATATTAAAACTTGAAATTGTGAATGTGTTGACTTTGACACAGGTCTTGTTTAGAAATTCATGGTTCATTCTTATGAATCCTAGACTTTCTGTTTGGGTATTTGTCTGCCATGGAGACAAGTACGAGAAAAAGTAAATGAGTAGACTTTAATTTTGGAGAAAGGAGTAAAAAACTCAATTATGTAATATATTAAGGGTGTGACTTTGATTACTTATGGGATTATAGTTCTTTCTAAGTTTGAAATACAGCTGCCAAAAATGTGGTCATAAAATATGGTAAGTGGGGGCTTCCCTGGTGGCGCGGTGGTTGGGAGTCCGCCTGCTGCTGCAGGGGACACGGGTCCATGCCCCGGTCCGGGAGGATCCCAAGTGCCGCGGAGCGGCTGGGCCCGTGAGCCATGGCCGCTGAGCCTGCGCGTCCAGAGCCTGTGCTCTGCAATGGGAGAGGCCACAACAGTGAGAGGCCCGTGTTCCGCAAAAAAAATATATATATATATATGGTAAGTGGCACTTAAATTGTTAAATGGCAAAGCATGGATTACATAATAGTTATTTTGTTCTATTCCAAAAACTGAACTTCAAAAAAGGTTAGAATCAAACTTATCTATCACTTTTGTCATTAGGAATCCTTGGCTTCTTTTCATTGAGGTATAATTGACATTATCCGTTGACTCTTTTTTTTTCCTTCAATTTTATTTATT